AAAGGAAGTTACTGGTGGTCTGGTATGAAGAGGGAAATAGCCGAGTACATCAGTCGATGCCTTACTTGTCAGCAAGTCAAGGCAGAGCATCAGCATCCAGCTGGGTTATTGCAGCCACTTTCCATTCCAGAGTGGAAATGGGAGCACGTGACCATGGATTTTGTGGTAGGACTGCCACGGACCGTGAGGAATTATGATGCTGTATGGGTTGTGGTTGATAGGCTCACGAAGAGTGCACATTTTCTACCTATCAACACTACCTATGCACTTGAGAGGTTAGCCAAATTGTATGTGGATGAGATCGTGAGGCTACATGGGGTTCCTATAACCATTGTATCCGACAGAGATCCACGATTCACATCACGATTTTGGCCGAAATTCCAAGAGTCCATGGGAACGAAGTTGAAGTTCAGTACTGCTTTTCATCCTCAGACAGATGGGCAATCCGAGAGGGTTATACAGATTTTGGAGGATATGTTGAGAGCTTGTGCATTGGAGTTCCAAGGAAGTTGGGACAACCATTTAGCACTCGTTGAATTCGCCTATAACAACAGTTATCAGGCAAGTATTGGCATGCCCCCATATGAAGCACTGTATGGGAGGAAATGTCGTACACCGTTGTGTTGGGATGAGGTTGGCATGGCCAAGCTCGAGGGCACGGAATTGGTGGAAATCACTAAATCAAAAGTGAAGATGATTCGGGAGAGGCTTAAGGCGGCCCAGGATAGACAGAAGAGTTATGCCGATAAACGCCGAAGAGCCTTGGAATTTAAGGTGGGAGATGAGGTGTTTCTGAAAGTTTCACCTTGGAAAGGGATCATACGTTTTCAAAGCCGAGGGAAACTTAACCCACGCTACATAGGGCCATTTGTGATTCTTGAAAGAATTGGGGCTGTAGCATACCGATTGCAGTTGACTCCAGAATTGGAGAAGATACATAACGTGTTCCACGTGTCTATGCTAAAGAAATATGTGCCGGATCCGTCTCACGTGTTAGAGAAACCACCCGTGGAAATACGTGAGGATTTGAACTATGCCGTACGACCGGTGAGGATACTTGATAGGCAAGTAAAGAAGCTGAGAAGCAAGAAAGTTCCAATGGTTAAAATCCTTTGGAAAAGTGACCGAGTTGAAGAAGAAACTTGGGAAACAGAAGCCTTGATGAAGGAACAATATGCATTTCTTTTTGAATAAGCATTTGTAAATTTCGGGGACGAAATTCCCGTTAAGGGGGGGTGAACTTGTGACACCGCACCCGGATGTACTTGAATTTGGAATTTGATATGTATTCGAATTTCCTAACGAATAAAATTCGTGAAATTGATTGGCATATTTATTTAATGTGCGATTAATTAAATTATTTATCGGGTCCAGTATATGTGGCTGGGCCATCAAATATTTAGTTGGGTCATCATAGTAAATTATAGAAGCCCAATAAAGTGCCAACAAAAGTTGATAAAAATATTTGGACAACCCGAGTGCTATTTTGGCCCAACCTGCCGAAAATAGCAGGAATAATTGGGAGGGACTTTCTATACCCAATTGGGGTTTTTCCTACACACTAATTAGACTCAAATGATAAGGGAGGGGGCCACACATGTGGTTTTGTGCGTGCATGAAGGGAGAGGAAGCCTCCATGAGACAAAACCAACACCCCCATGACCCCATCACCAAACAAATGAGTTGATTGACTTGGTGATGCCTCTCCCCTATCCTCTTCATTCTCGGCCAACCATAGGAGAAGAAGAGCTCCAAGAAACCCTCTCACCAAGGTCACAACTTGAAGGGAAAAATCTGGGGAAAGTCCACAAGAAGTAGCTTGAGTTCAAGGTAAGAACTCTACTACCCTTCTTTAACTAGTTTTGTGTTGTATGATTTTTGAGAAATCATATGATGGATTAAACCACGAGTTTTACACGTTTAAGGGTGTATAATATTGTTATATAGTGGTGGTAATTAACTTAGAAGAGTCGTGGAATCGATAGGAGTTGAAACCACCGGAAACCGCCAAGGAGAAGAAGCTGTTCGTAGTTGCAGACTACGAAAGCCGCCCGGCTTTGGGTGAAAGCCGCCCGGCTTTTGGGCTACTGTCCAGGAATTTTGCTTTTGATCGGTTTAGAACGGGGATCGATCGAAGGGCTTATCAAAGGCAACTAATCCAGCACTTCATAAGGTGAGGATGGCTGACTATGTTGTTTATAATCTTTGGGTTAATTTCGTAAGATTACCTAAAGTGATTAAATGTTATTTTCATGGATTATTAATGATTAATAATGCCTAAATGAAAATATTGTTGTCAATGAATAAAGGAGCATAATATACAAATTTAAGGATAAATTGGGTATGATTATGTAATATGAGCATATTGGCTTGATGAAGGGATTAACTATGAATATTATGTTGAAATATAATTTTAACTTCATATAAGGATATATGAGTGATTAAAGATCATATTTTGTATATTGATGTGAACTATATTTTCAATGGAAAATTAGTTGAGAATTGTCTATATGACTATGAACTGAAATGAGATTTTGTTGGAATTTATCCGACTAGTATAATGATACTAGTCGGGGTTTTGGAATGAAATATGTTAGAATTGATCCAAGGTTTGGATTGTAAATTGTTGGGCCTTAAGTAGTCTTAAGAGATACTAAGGTGGATAAGTGATGCTAGGGGTAGGCCTTAAGGGATACCCAAGATAAAGTGAATAATAAATTGATCCTAGGAATAGGATTGGCCTACGGGTGTATTCGGTAGTCTTTAAGGATTAGCCGATAGAGTATTGGTAATTAGTAAGGACCATGGCCCTTCCCGACTCTAGAGAGCGGGGTTGGATAGCATGGACTTACATCGTGATCACGGGTTAGGGTGGAATCCGAACCGGAGACCTTACGAGGCTCCCGACAGCGGTAACACATAAGATAGGACCCCGAATGGACCTTACCTTCCTACGGGACGATGGGTATGAGTTCAGGGGCGGGATGTTGGACTCCGGCCCGGGGACCCGGTGAGGCCTCGGAGAGCGGTGACAAGTCTCGTAAAGGATGATAAGACCTACGGGCGGTGTCGTGCTAACGACGGGTATAATGAAATATATGAAATGGGCCGTGTGCCGACAAATAAATAAATTTACTTATTATAGAGATAATAAGTGGGAAATATAAATTATTATTTATATTATGATATCACCCTATTTTGAGGGTCTTAGAAATTGAAACATTGATTATACTTGGTATAGTTGTCATTGTACTTGTCAAATGCTTCCAAGTACTGACCTCCCCTTCACGGGGGAGGCCACCTCACAGTTTCAGGTAGGGAGTAGAGCTTGCTACCAGTGCCCGTTGCCTCGGGAAGACATAGGAAGGAAGACGTGGTTCGTGCTTCCTCCGTCTCTATTTTAAAAACATTTCAATTAATGCTCATGGATATTTTTGAATGATTATTGGGGCTTGTATGCCCATGTTTGCCGGAGTGTGGCATAAACACTTGTATTAAACGTTTCCGCTGATTTCAATTGATTATTTTACATTATGTTTGTTTATGGATGTACTATTGTGAATGATATTCAAGACGCCTAGTATAGTATGGATGAGTTGGACTGCGGTTGACTATTCGTACTGTACGGCGGGTTGTTGACGTGTCCGGTAGGTCCGGGGCGTGACATGTGGAGTGGATGAGTGCGTATTCCGAGATATTTTATCTTATCAGGAATATTTTTATCTGATAAAGTGTATTTTTTATCTGACACGAGACGTAGTATGTCATTTTTTCTATTCACCTACTTTTATAGAAATATTAAATCTTTTTTCTACAATTATTACTACTAATATAATAATAAACAAATATTACTAAATTACCTACGTAAAATTTACTCCATAATATTTCAAGTCATAAATTAATATATGCACACAATAATAATACAAATTTTATCTAATTATAAATAATACTAATAATAATAATAATAATACTACTAACAATAATAATAATAATGAATGAGGAGGAGGAATAAGTCACTAACCTTTCAATAGAGGGGTTGAGAGGAGAGTTGAAGGTATGGGAGGAGGCAAGTAGGAAGGTGAATTTATAACAACAAAACTATCCTCCCATCTGTAGAGGACCAATCACGTAGTCCGAAATCTTATCGCTGCATTCGGATTTGGTAACTCCGAAACCGATAAAGTCTGACGCCACTGATTTCGGGTTTGCCAACTCCGAAATCAGTAAAGCTTTTTTGACCACTTTTTAGATTCGGAGTACCCAACTCCGTTTTGCATTTTTTTGTCAAAAAAATGGGATCTGACCTATTTGGTGACTTGGTCAAAAACATACGGAGTTACATTAAAAAATCGGTCTTGTGGAGGACCGGTCCGACCGGAGGTCGAACTATCGAAGTAAGTAGTGATAATTTAATTTAATCGGCAATTGAAGATGTAATTATTACGGAATATATGGTTAAACAAATTGTATTTTTCATGGAAGGAGGAGAGGATAAGATAAACGCCGTCGTCTGGATTCATTTCGTGCACGGATTCCTCGATATGCGCTAACGGTAAGAGCCAGAAGAAGCAGAAGATCAGAAATGGCTTCTTGCGAATTGAAAAAAATACGGAAAAGTATCAAATAAGCCCCGTACTATGCTGAAAAAGTCGATTAGACTCTCGTACTTTACAAACACTTAATTAAGTCCTCGAACTATTAAAAAACGTTCAATTAAGCCCTTTTGGTCGGTAAGTAACTCGTTTCCCGGTTAAAGGGCGACGACGGCGACGATGTGCTCGAACCCCAGCAACGTTGGCTGTCGAGAAACGGGTTACATTTAACCGGGAAACCGGTTACTTACCGACCAAAAGGGCTTAATTGAACGTTTTTTAATAGTCCAAGGACTTGATTGAGTGTTTGTAAAATACGAGGGCCTAATCGACTTTTTCGATATAGTATGGAGGCTTATTTGATAGTTTTCCCAAAAAAATAACATCAAACCCAATAATTCAGTCAATGAAAGATTCAACAATTTATAAAATTCAGCCAAGGTAATCGTGTATATCTTCTCGTTCTTTCTAAAGAATGACAAATACGGAGTATAAAACAAAAAAATGATTAATTACGTAATTTAGTCGTCATATGTGAACTATGGGAGCAATAGCTGTCACCCCCACGCCAATAATCAACGAATTCGAACACTTCTTATTTCCCCCACCGCCGCCGCCGCCGCAGGATGCGTCGGTCATTAGATTTCCGGCACCATTCATAATTCCAGATCGATCCTGTAACGCCGCATCCGCCGCCCGATCAAATCCATCGCCGCCGTGCGATCCCCCCTGCCCCTCCTCCGCGCATTCATGCGGCGATTCGTCGCCAACGAGGGGGACACTGAGCGGCACGAGGCGTAGACGGAGGCGATTTCCGGAGCGGTAGGCCTCCAAGTACTCGTGGCGGTCGGATTTCACGCCGGTGATGACGAGTCTCCCGTCTTCCGTGTAATGCCGTTTCAGGACCCACGGCATTCTACACGACGACGAGTTTTCCGTCCTGGCAAGCCAGGGCAACGGCGGCGGAAATCCTCTGGCGGAATCTGTCAGTTCTCCCTTCTCCCCGTTCCACTCAACTCGGCCGCCACGACTCATCATTGGCGAATTAGAATCGGCCGCCGCCATGGAGTCTAGACAATGCATCGATTAAATCTAGAGAATTAAATATTTGAATTCCTTCGATCGGATCGAAATGTGGGATAGGGTTTGGTGGAATGCATGGAAGATGAGTGCTAGGAGAGAGTACGTATATCGTACACCCGGGTGTACGGGTGAGAACCGTACATCCGGTTTTTTTTTTTTTTTTAAACTTCAGCCCAATTTTGATATCTCAGATTGAATAGAATTAAATGAATCCAACGGAAGGCCCACAAAACAGGCCCACTTAAGAAAGTCAGTCCATTCAATTAAAACAGCCTATTTTTTTTTCGGTGGCAGTTTTGTAATTTAAGCGAAAAATCATGGCTCCCGCTAAATGAGCAATAATGTAGTTTTGTTGAGCATCTCACATAATGTATTGAGTATTATGAGGCTAATAATGAGTATCACAATTTTTGCTTCATATCTTCCAATTCTTTTTTTTCCTGCTATAAAAACTTATTAATTTATATCTAAAATTCACTCCTATTAATTTCAATATGCGAGTCTAATGTAATATGATACTTTTGAAATATGCATTGATATGGTATTTTAAAAATGAGCATAACATCAGTATCAAATGAGCATACATAACTTACAAAGTGCACATCATGGATCTAAAAATCGGGCTAGGCGCCCGCCTAGGCGCCGCCTAGTCGCTAGGCGGTGGCCAGGCGCCCCGATTTCGGTGTAATCGGTCAAAAAAATCGGTCGAGGCGCCTAGGCGGGCTAGGCGGCCGCCTAGGCGGCTAGGCGGGCTCCTGGGCGGGCTAGGCGGTGGCTAGGCGGTCCGGATTCATTTTTTCCCCGATTCAACTTTTTTCCCCCGTTTTGACTTAAAACCACGTTTGGTCAATAAGTATTCTATTTCTATATAGTTTAGCTTCATATTACTACGACAAAAAATAATTTTGACATATTTATAACTTTTTAGAGTGTATATATACATTTTTAGAGACTAAAAATATATAAATATCTACATTTATCTATTAATTATTTTATTATTTATAATTTTTATACATAAACTATAATATCTAATGATTATATGAGCTATTTCTATTTTCAAAATAATATATAAAATTATTGGTAATATTTTTAAATTTCAATGAAAAAAAAAATAAAGGAAAATACCTAGGCGCCCTAGTCGGCGCCTAGGCGCCCGCCTAGGCGGGCTAGGCGCTAGGCGGCCAGTCACCGCCCGACTAGCGCCTAGCGCCTTTTAGAACACTGGTGCACATTGATATGAAAATTGTAATGATTGTTAGTTGAACATCATGACATTTTAATTGAGCATCAAACCTCCACTATTGAGATGAAAATCACGACTTCTGGAGAATGAGTAATAATAAGCTTTTAATGAGCACCCGACCTATTCTGTTGAGTATTAGGAGTCGACATTTTAATTGAGCATCAAACATCTGCTATTGAGATGAAAATCATAGTTTCTTGTGAATGAGTAATAATAAACTTTTAATGAACATTAAACCTATTATGTTGAGTATTAGGAGTCTATCATAAAATAATACGTATAAAAATGCATTGATATGACATTTAGAAAATGAGCATAAGATCAGTATCAGATGAGCATATGTAACTTACAACATGAGTATTAATGAATTTGTTAGTTGCTTTGTTGGTTGAAAATCACAACATTTTCATTCAGCTTCAAAACTCCTCTATTGAGATTGATGAAAATCATGATTTCTATTATATGAGCATTCATAAATTAATAATGAGCATCAGACCTATACAAATGAGCATGTGTAACTTACAAGATGAGCATTGATATGAAATTTGTAAGTTTTATTCGTTGAGAATCACATCCCCGTGATTGAGTATTAGAATCTGCGATTGAGTATCATGATTTGTGGCCTCGTGTTTATGATCAACTCTTATATAAATCTAATGTAATATGAGATTTTTGAAATGTGCATTGCTAAAACATTTTTAAAATGAGCATAATAGAGATATTAAATGAGCATACATAATTTACAAAATGAGTATTCAAACATTCAAAAGTTCATTTGTGTATGTTCATTTTTTTAAGTGTTTTACTCATTTCAATTTAAGGTAAAACTCATTTTTAATGTGCTCGGTATAATATACTCATGAAAAAGAGAAAGAGGTAAAACAAATAAAGAAAGGAAAAGAAGTAAAAAATAAAACCAAAGAAAATAAGTAAAGAAAGTAAAAGAAAAAGAGTGAAATCAACCACTAAAAAAGTAAAGAAACTAAAAAACAAAAAGACAAAAAACGTAACAATCAGAACCACTAAAAAAAGTAAAGAAAACAAAACAAAAAGTAAACGTAACAATCAGAATTGATGACGGCGGAAGAAAGAAAGGGAGATGAAGGCGGCGGAAGAAAAGAAGGAAAAGAGGAAGGCAGCCGAAGACGAAAAGCGGAAGGCTGCAGAAGACGGAAGATGATTTGCGGGAAAGAACATGCTGACTCAGAGACTTGAAGTTGGTATATTTACAAAAATACCGGATGTACCTGTACATCCGGGTGTAGGATATAAATTGCCGCTAGGAGAAGTAGTAGCTGTATCTAGGGGTGTGCACCGGTCCAAAACCGGACCGGACCGGACCGGAACCGGTTAGGACCGGAACCGGAATCATCATTTTCTTTGGACCGAAGACCGGACCTGAATCTAACCGGTCCGGACCGGTCCAGACCTGAATTTTCCGGTCCGGTCCGGGTTTGACCCTAATTGACCCGGTTTTAAAAAATAAATATTATCTTAGAGTGTTCTTAGTTGGCCACAAATTTTTTTAGGAATAAGGCTTGGATGTTGTTGTTTTAAATTATAATTTTATGTGCGGATATGCTAAATAGACTAAATAATTGTTTATCTAGCTCATTTATTATTTTTAGAATATAGTTATCAAAACTATTCAATCGTAACAATTAGTTTCCCACAAAAACTAAAACTACAATCTTTTATGTATATTAAAATGCAAAATCTATTATAAAGTAATAAAAACTAAATTAAGTCCAAAAATATACTACGTATAAACTACATGTGCACCTGCAAATAAAGAAACAAATAAAAAGCAGAAAAATCACATAAATAAATAAATAAAAAACAACTTAGGAAATAATTAGGCACCAAATATACACTCCGTATATATTCATTTATATAATAAAAGACAAAAATAAGTCATAAACATAATGACTAATGATACAAAACCAAGTATATATTTTACGGGAAAATAGGTTACCGGTCCATTCCGGTCCGGACCTGTTTTTTCCGGGTTTGACCCGGACCGGAACCCGGAATCTTACAAAACTAAGGACCAAAACCCGGACCGGTTTATACCGGTCCGGTTCGGACCGGTCCATTCCGGTCCGGTTCAGGTCTAAAATACGGTCTGACCCGGTTAATGCACAGCCCTAGCTGTATCTGCGTTGAAGAAGGAAAAGATGGATGGGGGATGGATTACTTTAACGCGGAAAATCGAAAACGTACGGATACGGAGAATTGAAGATTTGAAGATGGAATATATTTTTATCCAAGAAAGAAATAAATTAAAGGAAATTCGTATAATAATGTACCCCGTATTATTAATCATGTACTCCGTAATATGATAATGGAGAGTGACAGCTAAGAATCGGATGGCACAGCTGGGTTGCGGTTGCATTGTGATTTAAGTTAAGAATCCATCCGAAAAGAGAAGTCTATCACCCGTTTATTGAGTCCGGGTATCATACCACCGGATGTATGTACACACAGTTCAAATTTAATTGAGTTAGGATGTTTTCTTTTCGACTGAAATTTGTTGGTCTAATTTAGTCTGGTCTGATCCAGTCCGGTCTGTTTAAGTCTTGTCTGATTTGGTCTGTTTAAGTTTGGTCTGGGACTGAAAATAGTCTAAAGGAAAACATCCTTACTTAACTGTAGGCCCATACTTCAAAAGCTCAAAAATTAAATAACTTAAAAGACCAGGGAGATTTGATCCCTAGACCTAAGATATAATACACGACCTTCCAACCATCTCACCAGTTTGTCTTGTTGTTATGATTTGTTCTTTTATCTTCCTTATCCTACATGTTTTCATACTCCGTACTACAGTTGTTTGTTAATAGTAATTATAATATTAACCATTCTTTGCTTTTGCTCATTATTACTCCGTACTATATTAAAAGACTAATTCATGTTTTTGAAGTATTTATTTGATCTAGGAATCATGCTGTTAATTTATGTAAATATATTTATAATTTTGTTATACATTGTTGGGTTCCTAATAAGTCTGATGCTCATCGAAAGTGTTTTAATGCTCATAATAGATCTGATTCACATTAAAAGTTCATTAATGCTCATTTAACAGAAACTGTGATTTTCATCTCAATAGATGAGATTTGATGCTCTCAATGAATATGTTGTTATGTCAAACTAACAAATTTTGCAATTTTCATATCAACAAACATTTTGTAAGTTACGTATGCTCATCTCGTACTGATCTTATGCTCATTTTCTAAATGTCATATCAATGCATTTGCTTTAAAATACTATTTTACATTAGATTCACATGTTGAAATTCATAAGAGTTGATTAGAAATATAATTTAATAAGTTTTTATAAAAGGAAAAATAACAAAAAGAAAGTGAATTAGAAGTTAAGTAGAGATCACGATTCTGAATATTAGACTTCTAATGCCCAATATAATAGGTCTGATGCTCATTAAAAGTTCATTAATGCTCATTCACCAGAAACTGTGATTTTCATCTCAATAGCGTAGATTTGATGCTCAATTAAAATGTATTGATATTCAACTAACAAATCTTGCGATTTTCATATCAATGTGCACTTTGTAAATTATGTATGATCATTTGGTACCGATGTTATGCTCATTTTTAAAATGTCATATCAATGCATATTTCAAAAGTATCATATGAGCAAATTAAACTTACCAAATGCACATTGATATGAAAATTGCTAGGTTTGTTAGTTGAGTATCACGACACTTTCATTGAGCATCAAACCTCCTCTCTTGAGATGAAAATCACAGTTTCTGTTAAATGAGCATGCATTCACTTTTAATGAGCATAAAACCTATTTTGTTGAGTAGTAT